CATCTAGCAATAGCTAATATTCACCCGTAGATACATGAGCTAATTAAGGAAAAAAAAAAAAAGCCCCATTCATCTCATCAAGACACATTTACAATAAAAATTTACATTCGATGTTCAATAATTTAAAAATTGACAAATATATTTATGTTTTCATGATCAGTTATGTACTATAACTGTAATGACAATTCAATTCAGAACAATTTTTAACAAGTAGAGCCTTAGTTTTTTAAACTTTACGTATTTTCAAGATAGAGAAGAAACCAAAAAAACCCAAAATCAAACCCATTGACTCGTAGTGACCCTACAGGACAGAGTAGAACTGCCCCATACGGTTTCCAAGGAGTGGCTGGTGGATTCGAACTGCCAACCTTTTGACTAGCAGCAGTAGCTCTTAACCACTGTGCCACCAGGGCTCCAAGAAGAAAGAAGGTACCTATAAAAGGCTTTCAAGTGTATAACATTAGGATAAAATTTTGAAGGGATAGTGGGATGGAAATACTGAATTTAAAAAGAAAATAAATAAGTATGTAAAGTCCTCTACTGGCAAAGAAGAGCTTGTTTATGTGTTTTTGTTTTTTAAAGGAAGGTGGTAGGTACAGTATCTAGTTACTATTATGTAATTTATTTATTAAAAAAATTTTTATTGTACTTTAGATGAAGGTTTACAGAGGAAACAAGTTTCTCATTAAACAGTTAATACACCTATTGTTATGTGACATTGGTTGCCAACGCCATGACATGTCAACATTCTCCCCTTCTCAACCTTGGGTTCCACATTACCAGTTTTTCTGTCTCCTCCTGCCTTCTCCTTCTTGCCCCTGGGCTGATGACTATTATGTAATTTAAAAGTGATGTAACAGTTTTGTTTAACAACGCCAAAATTTATAACATTCCAGAAATTAGTTTTGCAGCTAATCTTGTAATGAAAAATCTATGAGGGTAATACAGTTTTTCAAAGTTATTTTAGGTGGGAAAGGTGTAAAAAGGTTTGAAGACCACTGCCCTAAAGTATATTTTCCACACAGAAGCTAGAATGATCTTCCAAAGACATAAAACCAATCAAGTCCCTTCCCTGTTCAAAATCTTCCAGGGTCTTTTTTTCTTAAACCACATTAAGAATAAAATACCGGTCCGAAGGACTAAGGGACCACAGCTACCAAGGCCTCCACCAGACTGAGTCCAGTACAGCTAGATGGTGCCTGGCTACCACCACTGACTGCTCTGACTGGGATCATAACAGACGGTTCTGGACAGAGCTGGAGAAGGATGTAGAGCATAATTCTAACTCACAAGAAAAAGACCAGATTTACTGGCCTAAAGGAGACTGGAGAAACCCCGAGAGTATGGCCCCCAGACACCCTTTTAGCTCAGTGGTGAAATCACTTCCGAGGTTCACCGTTCAGCTGGGGATCGGACAGCCCCATAAAACCAAATGGGACTAATGAGGCACAGCAGTCCAGGGACAAGGGCTAGAAGGCAGAAGGGGACAGGAAAGTTGGTGATAGGGAATCTAAGGTTAGGTAAGGATAGTGTTGATGTGTTGTGAGGTTGTTAACCATTGTCATAGGGCAACATGTATACTGTTTACTGAGAAACTGTTTTGCTCTGTAAATCTTCATCTAAAGTGAGAATAGCAGCACAATTGGTAGAGCGTAGTCGATGTCACTGAACTGTGCATGCAGAAATTTTTGAAATGGTGTATCTTTGGCTACGTATATTTTCACCAAAAAAAAAAAAAAATGTCAAGAAGGGAGAGGGTTGACATGTCGTGGGGTTGTTAACCAATGTCATAAAACAATATGTGTACTACTTTTCCATGAGAAACTATTTGTTCTGTAAACCTTCACTTGAAGTACAATAAAAAATAAATAAATAAAGCTAAAAATAAATCAAGTTACAACTTAATTACCTGAGCAAATTAAAAACACTGGCTTATTTGAGCAAATGAGATATTATTAAAAACAATTATATATACATTTTACATTTTAAACAAATATACATATATGCTGAGAGGTTTGTTTTTATTTCTGAATGTGTGTGTTTACATACATAAAGGCAGGAGCTCTGTTTTTGGTACCATTGATTCCTCACTGCATAGCACAATGCTTGGTACATTGTTGGTATACCAATAAAAACAACAACAAAAAGAGTAAAATACCAATAAAACCCAAGCTCCTTTCTAAGCTCTATAATGCAGTCAGGGATTTGGCCTCTGCCTACTGTATCTTACTACATTCTCTTGAGTTAGTCTACTCTAGCCTTAGTGGTGTTCTTGCTATTCCTCAAACACATCTCAAGGCCTTTTCATTTTTTCACTTGCTGTTACCCTAGATCTTCACATTGCCCACTTTTTCTCATCATTCTAGGCTCTGCTCAAATGTTACCTCCTCAGAGAGGCCTTTCCTGACCATCCCATTTAAAATAGCCTCCTACCCCATTACTTCCTATCCCTTTATCCTGTTTATTTTTCTTCAGAGCACTTTTCATCACATTCATCTACTTGATTATTGTCTGTTTCTCCTACCCAGTTAGAAGCTAAGCTCCATAAGACAGAAATTTTTGTCTTTTTTATCCACTGCTATATCCCCAGCATCTTTAATAGTACCTGGCACCTAGAAGGCACTCAATAAATACTTGTCAAGCCAATGAATGAATCTAAGAGCGCATTTTGGGATCGGACAGTCCTGGGTTCAAATTCAAGCTTTACTCTTTTTGTGCAACTGTGGGCAAGTTACTTCACCTCTCTAAGCCTGAGCTTCATCTCTGGTAAGTGGGAAACATCCTTTTCAGGAGGTGGTTGTGAAGATTAATAATGGATCTATATACAATGCTAGACACACAGTAGACCTTCAAAATTATTAGCTTCTTACCACCTCCCTCCTGAGACTGTATTAATACTATCCTCTCTTATGCTAGTAACATCCACTCCAACCAGAGGTGGATTTACTATGAAACAAATGAAATTTTAAAACTTCAGGGCCTGTTATTTGCACTGACCACAACTGGGAGTTGCTGAGAGTCTTAGAGGGGAAGCCAGGTTGTTGGAAGCATTTTCAGGCATTCCTAATTAACAGTGTAAACAGATCTCAGAAGAAAAGGTCTTCAAGTCTCGAGTAATTGGTTGTGACTTATTCTGTTGTTGTAAATATTAAATATTAATATTGTAAATACTAATTTTAGTTTGATTCCTAATTTTGTATTCATAATTTGTATTCTCTTTCTTAAAGAGGTCACACAAATTGTGTATGTTTCAGGCCCTACAAAACCTGAATCTACCCCTGACATCAATCTAGTTATAAATTTCATTGAGTACAAATGTATTCAGAAAGTGCATAAACTCTGAGGAGCTGCTCCAAGATGCATGACCAGTCTAGAATTGAGTGTACCTCAAAAGTTCTTAAAAACATCTACTTGCAGACATCACCAAAAGGCTTGTAGTACTTTTGACCTCATTTTTTATCCAAATGTTTGCCTTTTGGTGAACCCTCATTGTAAAAAGGCCACTGGGTACCTATCTCTTCGATAAAGCATCCACCGGGTGGCGTAGTGGTTAAGTGCTACGGCTGCTAACCAAAGGGTCGGCATTCCACCAGGCATTCCTTGGAAACTACAGGGTCACTATGAGTCGGAATCGACTCGACGGCAACGGGTTTGGTTTGTTTAAAGGTGCCCCCTACTGAAGTAAACTATGGTGCCTACTGAAGAATACTGACTATATCGTGGACTGCCCGAAGAACAAATCTGTGTTGGAGGCAGTACCGCCAGAATGCTCCTTAGAAGCACGGATGGCGAGACTTCCTTTCTTCTACTTTGGGCATGTTATCAGGAGGAACCAGTCCCCGGAGAAGGACATCATGCTTGGTAAAGTAGAGGGTCGGCACAAAAAGAGGAAGTCCCTCATCGAGATGGACTGACACAGTGACTGCAACAGTGGGCTCAAACATAAGAACCATTGTGAGGATGGTGCAGGACCTGGCAACCTTTCTTTCTGTTATATAAAAGGTCGCTATAAATCGGAAATGACTCCACGGCACCTAACAACAACAACCGAATTTCCATTTGAGCAACAATATGATTCTGGGCACGTTTTTTGGCTGTCCTCTTCCGTCGGCCACACCAGAAACCTAAAAACACTTAAGCTGGGGAGTCACCATCCCTAATTCCTCTCTTCCTTACGGGCCTCCGTAAAATAATGTAATGGGAAGTCTGATCCATAAGAACTATTAGGTTGTCCGTGGATGCAAAGCACTATAAAACCACCAGGGAGAAAAGTCTTGTCTTAAAAGTAATGACTGAAGTAGGTCGACGACAGCAGTAGTACTAGTACTACTACCAGTAGTAGTTTCTATTCAGGATGTGAGAATCCATAAAAGCCTTACCGTGCTGAGGCCTGTCCCAACTCCACCTTCCTCTCTGAAGAGGTGCTAGCTTCCCCAAGATGCAAAATTCCTCTAGGGCCCAGCCTCCCTCTCGGAGGAGCTGGACCCCTCCGGGTCTGACTTCTCCCCAGGCCCCCAGCGCGTCCGTGCCTAGGCTGCCCACGTCCTCACTGCCCTCTAGAAGGAGCCCGGGTGCCGCGGATTTGTTTTCTGTGTGGCTGCAGCGTGGGCGGCCCTTATACAACACCTGCACCGCCAAGACTCCCGACGTTGGGGGCGCCTCCGCAAACATGACTCCTTGTGCCCTCACAGTGTTCATGAGCCACCTCCACACAGCCAGATACACACCGCCGCACTCACACGTGCGCCCGGGTGAGCCCTCACACGTGATCCAGCTGGGATCCTCTCCGCCCGGGAAAGCCTGATTGCTAGACTCCTGAAGCTCCCCGGCCGGATCCCATCCCGCCCCCCAGCTCAGATCAGACCTGGCCGCCCGCCGTCTTCGCCCCGTCCGGCTCCGGGCAAAAGCCGGAGCAGCTGGTGCTACTCCGCGACTCCCGGGAGGCGGCGCAGCGCGGCGGACTGAGCATGCGCAGTGCGCAGGGCCGGCTCCCGGCGCAAGAAGGAAGCGTTCGCGGTGATCCCGGCGGCTGCGCTGGGCTATGCGGTACCTCTTAGCGTGGTTGCTGCACAGTGCGCTGCCCAGTACCTTCCGCTCCGTCCTCAGCGCCCACCTGTCGCCCTTGGAACACCTCTATAGGTAAGTGGAGCGCAGCGCCTCGGCCCTCAGGGCCCACGGGTCACGGTGGTTTGGAGCTCCGGTTGCAAAGTGGTGATTCAGCACTTAAAGCAGCCGCCGCCGCCCCTCACACCGCCCGTCCCGCCAGCCTGGGGCCCGGTCGGCCGCGCCGAGGCCGCCGCAGGGCCCGGAAGGGCAGCTTGCCGGGCGGGAGCGGGAGTCTTGGCCAGGGGAGGTGGGCGCCCCTAAGGTCGGTGAGGGGGGATGGGGGCCGTGACCCGGGGTCACGGGGCCTGTGTCACAAGTGCGGGGGGCGCGGGGCGCGGACTGAGTCACCCCGGCCCGCTCCCGAGAGCCGCGCCGCGCCACTCTCAGGAGTCTTCCTCTCGGGGGCCAGGAACCCTAGGCGGACTGTCCCTTGCCACGCGTTAAAGGGATCCGGAGGGTCCAGGGAGACCACTTCTCACCTCTCTGTCATCCCTGCTTTTTCATATGGGGATTGAGTTTCCAGTAATATATGGAAATGCCCGCGTGGGAACTGTAAAAGTTTGTCTCCCCCAGCCTTAGTTGAGTAGAAGAGTGTTGAGTTTCCTGTCGGGGGGAATTTGGGAGCTCAAAGAGACCGTGGGATCCTCCACAGCAGCTCCCTTGTTTCACAGCTGAGATAACGGAGGCCCAGAGAGATTTTTGTGATTTCCCCACGGTTGCAGAGATTGTGGCAAAACTAGGATTAGAACGCAGTGGTTTTTTTGCCATCCAGCGACGTGCGCTCTCCACTTCACCGCTGCTCAGTGTATACTAGGAATTTCAGTCTTGTAGTGAACGCTGAATACTCTTTACTGTGAATAGAGGGGAACTGGCAAAGATAGGCAGTATTGTCTTACCCTACTTATGTACATTATTTGAACCTCTTCTGGTTTTAATCGGTAGTGTTTAGGACCCACTAAGTTTAGGGCGTTGTGATAGACTGTAAGTATTATGTTGTCTGGCTTCCAAGAAACTTGGAGTTGGTTGGAGCCGATAGAGATGCCAGCTTATAAAGATGTGTTTCACCAGGGTCAGAAGATAGGCCGTACTGGCGGTGTGTGCCTTAGGAGCACAGTGCGGGCCAGAGATAGAGGAGGAGGCCTGGCTTGGCCTTTGAAGGAAAGGCAGTGGGGTGGGGATGGGCTTTATCCAGCCTACGTGCGCAGGTAGTTTGTTTTGTAGTTTTGCTGGAGCCTTAGAGAGTTTCCCTGGGGGAATTAGGAGGAAACAAGTCCTGCATTATAAGAGAAGGATAATGCTAGCCTGGGCTTTGAATTTTGGTTTGGACTTTTCCCAGTGAATAGTAGGTAGGAAGCCATAAATAAATTTTTGATCTGGGGAGTGATCTGATGAAATTGGTAGTTTAGGAAATTAGTTTAGTGGCTGTGTGCAGGACATAAGGGAGCAGAGAGAGACCTGAGGCTGAGAAACTGGTTGGGATTTAGTCTTAAACGCCTGAACCAGGATGGTTGTGGTGGCACTAAAAAGGACAGATGCAAATGAAGAATCTGTGGAACTTGTTTTCTCTTCTCTATTTCTCACTAACCTGCAAAACCCACTACAACATGCATAAAGATCTCAGAGCTTAGAGAAGTGGGAGTGGTGAGCGTAGGGTACCTCCTACTGCCTACTTTTGGGTCAGAACACTTTTGTCCTTAATTCATTGGTAATAGCCTTGGCTTTAGCTGCATACTGTCTCCAGCTCACAGAATTTGTGGTTAAAAAAAAAAAAAATCAACTTGAACAGTTTTATACAACCAAATATTTTGTATGTTCTAGTTATAATTCGATTTCTTCTGTAGTTTTCTCCCACTGCTCCTCATTTTCATTGATGAAGTCCAGAGCATAGATTGACCAGCCAGAACTTCAAGATAGGATTGTTCTAAGAGAGGGAAACTCAGAGAAGGAGATTCAAAGCATAATGAATGAGATCAACCATCTAGAAAGCTCTACCCTAAAACTGGGTGGCTGAAACTGTTAAGGAGCCCTGGTGGTGCAGTAATTAAGAGCTACGGCTGCTAACTAAAAGGTCAGCAGTTCGAATCTGCCAGCAGCTCCTTGGAAACCCTATGGGACAGTTCTACTCTGTCGTAGAGGGTCGCTATGAGTCGGAATCGACTCAACTCTATGGTAGTGGGTTTGGGTTTTTGGTTTTGAGGCTATTAAGGAAAATACAAGTCCAATCAAAGGGATCAGGGTGTAGTTTTAGGAAGGAAAGTACTAACATCTATAGCTACTACATATTTAAATCTTAAGGAAAGTAATCAGTCCTACTGTGCATAGTAGGAAGAATGTGTTAACACAGAGAGCCACACAGCTCTTTACTGGAAGAGATGGGATTTAACCCATGTCTCTCTGGCGCCAGAGCCCAAGCTCTTAACTGTTATCCTATCTCTGCCAGTATTTAGGCATTCATTTCCTGGTCTGGCTTCCTGAGAAAGAGATGGTCTTAAAGCATTCAGTTAATTTAAGAAGCAGCCTCATTGTCCTCTGTTCATTGATACTGGATAAGTTAGACCTGTGTGGAATTGTCTGAATTATTGGGAAAACTGGAAGTAATAGCCCAGTCCCTGGCAACCTCTGAGACCCCAGGGCATCAGTCATCTCACTTTGCAGGCAGCCCTACTTTGTATTTCCCTATTCCAAAGGTTTGAAACAGTGGTATGCAAGGTTGAACTCTTAAGATTTAGGCTTTTAAAGTACTTTAAACCAGAAAAAAATGCCATTTAATAGTTTAAAAGGACGGGATACCCCTGAGTATCTTTAATTATCATTAGCCCAGTCAACACACACTAAAAAGTTACATTCTACCTATCTGCCTTGTGAGTTAGGGGTGGTGACAGTTTCACTAGAGACTGGCAGGTGGAGCAGAAGTTCAGTGTATGTATTCGTAAGAATTGGTTTTCTTTCTGTTCTTCAGTTGGTATTTTAGATCTCCTAAACATGTACCAGAGCCCTGGTGGCACAGTGGTTAAGACCTTGGCTGCTAACCAAAAGATCAGCAGTTTGAATCTACAGCCACTACTTGGAAACCCTGTGGGGCAGTTCTACTGTGTCCCTTAGGGTCGCTGTGAGTTGGAATCGACTGGATGGCAATGAGTTGTTTTTTTTTTAAAACATGTGCCCAGAAGATCAGCCTACCCTTCAGCCAGGTGACAAGGCTAGTACTCTCCCTCCAGCGAGGTAGACCCTCTAGCTCCTCTGGGTTGTGGAGCCTCAGTAAGGGCCTTCCCCCTTGGCTTACCTTTAGTTTGCCCTCACTCTTCTCTGTTCATTCAGCCATTATTTGAATGCCTACTCTGTAGTGAGCACTCCCTGTGCCCAGGACTGTGGGGGATGATAACACAGCCCATAAATCCTGCCCTCAAGGAGCTTTCAGTCAAATAGTGAATCATTCCATTTTTTTACTTCTGAGCTTTTACTAAACATTTCCACTTTGTGTTCTGTTCCTTCTTTCAGTTTGTTTTGAAAAGCCATTCAGTATTTTTATCATGGAACTATGCATGCTTCTTTTAAAAACGGTGGTCACAAGCTGCTCCCTGAGTTTAAGATTTCACGTTCTGCCTGGCACATAGTAGTTGCTCAAAACGTATTTATTGCATAAATAAATGAATGAACAAATTAATGAGTTATGATCTTCCTTCAAAACCAGTTTTCTCTACTTTCCCTACTTTTGCATATGTTGTCATCATTTTTCTCAGTTTAACTTGAAAATTGGAGTAATCTTTGAATCTTTCTCTCACTCCCTCACTACCTTTTCACAGTTAGTCACCAAGCCCTCTTGAGTCTTTCATCCTAAAGTTTCTTGGAGTAATCTTGACCCTCATTACCATTGTAATTCAGGTCGTGATCATCTTTACTGATATCTCACATATACAAATTTTCTAACTGATTTTTCTGGCCCCCTGTCTCCCTCCTGGAGCCCTGGTGGTGCAGTGGTTATGAGCTCGACTGCTAACCAAAAGGTCGGCAGTTCGAATCCACCAGCCACTCCTTGGAAACCCTACGGGACAGCTCTACTCTGTCCATAGGGTTGCTATGAGTCAGAATCGGCAACGGGTTTATCTCCCTATCAGTTGATCCTGAGCAGCGCTGTCTGATTAATCCTACTAGTTTACCACTTTCATCATGCCATTGTCTTACTTAGACATCACCAGTGGTTCTGCAGTATTCCAGAATCAAGTCCAAACTTCTCAACCTGGCATTTAAGCATTCTGTGGGCTGACCCTAGCCTAACTTTCCAATGTAACTTTCCTCTTCTCCAGTTAAACTCATCAATTTGCTGCTTCCTGTACATGACCTATTTATTCCCAATTCTGGAATGCCCTTCCCCCCTTTTTTTTACATGACTAAATCCTACCTTCTTTTTAGACCTTATACAAGTCATACAGTTATCTTTCCCTTTTCTGAATTAATGATTTAAAGTGTTCAGCATATATTGACATTTAACCATGTACTGCCTCTTTTTTTTTTTTTTAATTGTACTTCAGGTGAAGGCTTACAGAACAAATAGTTTCTCATGAAACAGTAGTACACATATTGTTTTATGACATTGGTTAACAACCCCACGACATGTCAACCCTCTCCCTTCTCGACCCTTTTTTTTTTTTGGTGAAAATATACATAGCCAAAGATAACACCATTTGAAAAATTTCTACATGCACAGTTCAGTGACATCGACTATGCTCTTCCAATTGTGCTTCTATTCTCACTTTAGAGGAAGCCTTACAGAACAAAATAGTTTCTTATTAAACAGTTAGTACACATGTTGCCCTATGACAATGGTTAACAACTTTACAACACATCAACACTATCCTTACTCAACCTTGGGTTCCCTATCACCAGCTTCCTTGTCTCCTTCTGCCTTCTGGCCCTTGTCCCTGGACTGATGTACCTCATTAGTCCCATTTGGTTTTATGGGGCTGTCCACTCCCAGGCTGAACGGTGAACCTTGGAGATGACTTCACCACTGAGCTAAAAGGGTGTCTGGGGGC